ACACACACACACACACACACACACACACACACACACACACACACGCATGCACATGCCCACACACACAGAGTTAAACACAATGTTTCCTGTGGGCCAAAGGTCCATCCCTCTCCTCCTCCTTTTACTTATTTCCTAGCCAAGGATGGTGAAAAAGTAACTCTCTTGGCCCAGCTCCGAGGACACAAAAACAAATCGTCAAATCTCCATCTTTGAAGAACCACTGTTCTGAGGAAAAGACAGGCGATGAGCAAAGAGCAAATGAAGGCTGGGTGGTATGGCACGTCTTCCATCCTAACCAGGAGTTAGAGATGGGAGAATGGGAGATTCAAGGTCATCCTCATAGAGAGTTTGAGGCCAGCCTGGGCTACTTGAGGCCTGATCTCAAAATGTAAGGCAAACAATAGCAGATGATTGTATGCTATGCATGGGGCAGAAAGAAAACAAAACAGGTGGGGGTTCAGGGGTGACAAGACCAGGGCCCTGTGGGGTTAGGTCAGTCAGGGACACCTGTTTGCTGAGGTGATGTGTGAGGTCTAGAATGGGGTTGTGAGCTCAGAAGCTGAAGGAGCACTTCAGAAGGAGCAGAGGCCCTGAGGTCTGACCGCCCTTGGATGTCTCAGGGAACAGCAAGACCAGGGAGAGCAGGTGGGGGATACCTCTGTAGTCTGAGGCAGGTAGCTTACAAGTTAGACTCTAGCAAGATATCATCTCAAAAACAAACGAGCAAACGATTTTTTAAAAGACTAGGGGGCTAGTGGGTTACAAGCATAGCATGTGAGCCCCAACAAGTATGGCACTGAGAGCCTGAGAGAGCGGGACAGCGGGATGCACTGAGAGCCTGAGAGAGCGGGACAGCGGGATGCACTGAGAGCCTGAGAGAGCGGGACAGCGGGATGCACTGAGAGCCCGAGAGAGCGGGACAGCGGGATGCACTGAGAGCCTGAGAGAGCGGGACAGCGGGATGCACTGAGAGCCTGAGAGAGCGGGACAGCGGGATGTAAAACTTAGATCCCAGCTGGAGGACTTGGCCGAAGGCAGGAATGAACCCAGGGGAGGCTTCCAGCTCTGAGCAGGCTCCTGCAGGAACGTTCTGCCAGCAGGGAGGGTCTCTGACACTGACTGGTGGCTGCTGGCCCCGGGTCTGAGAACAGCAGAGAAGGGCTACACGGTAGTTGCTTCCCTCCAATAGGCCAGGCCCTGGTGTGTAAATCTTGTTTAAGGATTCTCTCTGATTTGAGGCTGGGTCCCTCGAGTTTCTCTGTTGCCCCCGCCCCATACTGTCTATTTGTATGATTTGCACAAACACAAATGTAAATATTTGTCAAACAGCACTAAAAAGACTCTGGTGACTCAGCGTGGACACTGAGGCTGCCCGTCAGCTACACCCAGTGCTCAACCAGAGCCCAGACCTGGGAGAGGCAGATGGTGATGGCTGTGGTGGCTGGGAAGCCATTGACTATTTCTCACATGCAGTCATGATACTGAAGGGTGCTTAGGCGTCGCCAGCACAGTAAAACGCTCTCTGCCCAAGCGTGAGGACCGGAGTTAGATCCTCAGCTGGCAGGTAAATTCCAGATGTGATGCTGTACATCTGTCATCCCAGCACTGGGAGGCAGAGACAGGAGTGTCTCTCAGGCTCAGGGACCTGGGAGGCTGGAATGGCTATGGTGAGCCTCTCTTTCACAAACACCTTTTACTGGTATTACTGGTGACAAAATGAATCATGCACACTATAAACTCTTAGAAAATATAGAAAAATTATAAACTTAAACACTTCGAGTCTCTCTGACAGCAGGCTTCCTTCTAGTCCTTTCTGTGTATATGTATGTGTACATGTATATATTTTTCTATTTAATAATATTTTTGCCATGCTGTTTGTCCACTTTTATAGCCTGATTTTTATCATTATAGATAGAATCACAAAATAATGTTTGTGCACCTTTGTAGCCTTTAGGAAACATACATTTCTGATGGCTGGAAATGATCCTAACTAGGGCATTGTATTTAATTGGTTGGGGCATCTTGGTTATTTTCCTTTTAGTATTATTTTGATATTGGGAGTTTATGCAACTTGCTCCATATCTGCTAATGCACTGATACATGATGAACTATCTTGCTCCTTCTCTTGCCTGAATCCGACACATACATTTTTATTGTAGGAAATCAGATAAAGAACACCAAAGACACGAAATCCTCTCGGGATCTCCCTCTCTGGTTATTGATATTTCTATCAGTTTGCCAGACAGTGGGTACGCCTGTGTTGCCTTGTTTATTTATTTATAACTGGCTGCTGGCTGTCCTGTGTCCATATTTTATGTGCATCATTTTATAAGATTTTTTCTTTCCAATCTAATAGCATATTTTTGTTTTGTTTTATTTTGGTTGTGGTTGTCCTTCCTTCCTTCCTTCCTTCCTTCCTTCCTTTCTTTCTTTCTTTCTTTCTTTTTCATTTCTGTTTGTGACAGTGTCTCACTACGTACCTCTGGCTGGCCTAGAATTCACTGTATAGACTAAGCTGGCCTTGAACTCACAGATATTCACATGCCTCTGCCTCCTGAGTGTTAGGATTAAAAATCCTCCGGGTCCCACCCAAGATGTGGGAAGATTCACAAGAAACATTTGAAGGTGATGCTAGCTCTTAAACACAGTGTAACTCCAAGTGAGGCTCAGAGCTAGGCTGGCATGGTCTCATGAGTGGTGACCCCACATACTTCCAAGTGAAGTTCATAGCTAGGCTGGGCACACAGTCTCATGAATGCTGACCAATGGACCTTGAGTTTGCCAAGGTACAACCTGCCCACATCACTGTCTGGCCCATGGGGGGGGGGCACAGAGCACCTGTTCCACTGAGTCAGAACCCACACCTCCCCCCAAGAAGGAAAGGTACCTTCTTCAAGGAGGAGGAGTCTTCCCTTCCTGTGCTCCCAGGGTTCTTGAGTCTCTCTCTGCCCTGACCCCCTGGAGGCCTCCTGCCTTGGCCCTGATGGTCCTGTCTGATGGCTGCCTTCCCTTTCCTCTGTTCCCCAGTTTCTTTCCACAGTGTGATGTGGTGAATTTTGGCTCCTGGTTCATCTTTGCCTTCCCTCTCATGCTGCTGTTCCTACTGGTGGGCTGGCTCTGGATCTCATTTCTCTATGGTGGAATGAGCTGGAGGTATGTGGAACCTTCTAGAGGGCTGGCAGGAAAGCCCAGGCTTCCTTGCCAAGCCTGACCTGTTGCCCTTTGAACAAAGAAAAAGCGACTCTGGTTTTTAGGATAGCTCGGACCAGTTGACAATGTTGAACCAAGACATAGTCATATGTCCTATTTACCTTTATGGCTTCTTTCTGCTTACAATGATGGTTGTGTGTGTGTGTGTGTATGTGTGTGTGTGTGTGTGTGTGTGTGCATGTATGAGTGTATTTGCATGAGCACACATGTGCACACATGCATGCCTGCCTATGTTTGGGGGTACATGCATTTTCACATTGAGGCTGGAAGACATCTGGTGCCGTTCTTCAGACACAGTTGATCCTTTTGGTTTCTTTTTCATTTCTGTTTATATATGTGTATATATATATATATATATATATATATATATATATATATTTATATATAAACGATCCCTCGCTGGCCTGGAACTCATTAAATGGGCTAGACTGACTGGCCAGCGAACTGTGGGATTAGCTTGTCTTTGCATCCTTAGTGTTGGTATTAAAATCACACAGCACTATGCCCAGCTTTGTCATACAGTCCTAGGGATCAAACTCTGGTGCTGACAAAGCGAGAACTTCCCCACTGAGCCGTCTCCCAGCCTCATGACAGTGACTTCATCTTCCATTTACGAGTGTGATAAGAAGTTTGCTGTTTACATTCATTCTTGTCTGTTTATTTTGTTCATGGTTCCTACTATCAGGCCTTGTAAGCACCAGGCAAGCACTCTGTCCTTGAGCTATATAGCCCCTCCCCTTGTCTTTTTAAGCCGGTCTCACTAGATAGTCTTCCTCCTTCCCCATTTGTGGATTATGGTGTGTGGCACCACAAGCACCTGGAGATCTATTTCTTTCATGAAAGCGGTTAGGCTATTTACAGGAAAATGCTATGAACTGTGAGCCAGGTACTGTGCAGAAATAGAGTTAAGGGGTAATTAAAGCAGGAGCTGAGCTAGGTGTGTGTGTGTGTGTGTGTGTGTGTGTGGCCATGGCTCAGTTATTGTCTGACCCAATGGCTTCCCCTCATTCCTGGACCTTGACTGGATCCTCAGTGTAGTGGGACCAACGGGATCCACTTTGGAGGTGAGACATGAACACATCGAACAGAGAGAGGAGTCCACAGGATGCTCCTGGTCTCAAGGACCCTCCAAGCTCCTGATGGCAGAAGCCAGGCTCAGAGCCAGCTCAACCGGGAAAGCACAACCAGACTTGGCCACACGGTCAGGTCCCAGTCTCTCTCTGTGCAATTCTGGACTCTGCCACCTTCCCAGACCTCCCATCTCTTACTTCCATCCATTGTACACCTGTAGATGAAGTCACCTGCATCTGGGAGAGACACTCAGTGAGGGACATGGGCAAGATGCTGAGAAGGAGGCAGAACCAGGATCCCCTCATCTCCTCTGTTGTGTAACTGGAACCCTGGGGGCCCGAGGGAGGAGGTACATGTAGAGAGAAGCATGGAGACAGATTTCTGAGGGGCAGCAGGACATTTCTGCTCATCCCTGTGACTCCATATTTACTTAGCACATGGCCTCTGAGCCTTGTGTGCCCAACAGCCATAGCTGCTGAGGTCTGAACCCTTGGCAAGGCAGAGCTGACCGTGGCTGTTGAGAGTTTGCACTCTGGGTCAAGGGGACTCAGTAAGCAACAGAGCACAGTGCAGTTTCCAGCAAGGGCGAAGTGAGGGTCAGCACCAGAGCCTCCAGCCTAACCTGCGGGCCTGGAGCTCCATCCCAGGGACGTGATGGTTGAACTGGAGCAATGGATAATGAGCAGGGTTAACTGATTTCAGCTCACAATCCAAAGGCACACGGCAGGAAGGTCATGGCCGGAAACAATCATAGCAGCAGGTCACATCGGATTCGCAGTCAGTAAGAGCCGAGAGAGGAATGTGTGCCCATCAGCTCACTTTCAACACTATGGTCCAGGATTCCCTGCACAGGGAATTGCCCTGCCTACCGTTAAGATGGGTCTCCTCACCTCAGTGAACACAATCAAGGCGGTTTCTCACAGGCATGGCCAGAGGCGGTCCTAAACCCTCTCAAGCTGACAACAGGAACCATCCTGTAGGAAGAACTTAGACAAAAGCAAAATAAATACTTTGCAGCATGAAGTATCCCCTAATTCCACAATTAAAAATAAATTCTGGGCTGTCACTCTGACCCCACTGACCTACACATCCAGCACGGTGACTGAATAGCTCTCTTGTCTATGGTAGTTGGTCGGAGATGCTGCCCCCACCAGAGACTGAATTCTCAGTTGAGACGGAGCCTATTTCTATTTTGTTCCACTGACTTTTTGATTATCCATCCGTGTGTGTGTGTGTGTGTGTGTGTGACTTGTGAAAAGATTTAAACCCCAAGAACATAGCCAGAGACATTTTACACTTTTGAAAGGCCAACCTGAACCTAAGTTTAAGGAAGTCAGCATCTTCAGGATGGGCCTGCTGTGGCTGGGATGGGCAGGGGACAGGGACAATAGGTAAGAAGTTAGTTACCTTTGATCATCAGGATGGCTCAGCAGGTAAAGAGACGATTGCCTTCTACCGCTTGTCCCCTGACCTCCAGGTACATACCAGAACATTTTCAGGCTCCTGCATATAAATAAATAAATTAATTAACAAAAAAAGGGAATTTTAATTTTAAAGCATAAAGCACCCTCTGGCCACCCCCACCCCCCACAGCTACCACTCCTAATCTCCCTCTTTCCACCCCAGGGACTGGAGGAAGAAGAAATCGAAGATCCGAGCTGATGCAGAGGACAAGGCTAAGGCTGTGATCCAAGAGGAGTTCCAGAACCTGGGGCCCATCAGGTACAAGGGGTGCCGGGTGCGAGCGAGGCAACAGGCCCTTGGGCTTCAGGGGAGTAACCTCGAGCATGGCTGAGTCTCAAGTGCACCTCAGGCCCAGTGGCTGAGTGTGGCAGTGACAGAAGGCAGAAGGTGGCTCCTGCATTGTCCTGGTGCTGGGCTCAGGGTGGACCGTGTTGGGCATTTTCCCTGTTCCACCTAAGATACCTTCTCCTTCTCTGACCTCCCAGAGCTCTGGGCCCGGTTAAAGCACGTTCCCATGTGATGAAGTCAAGGCAGCCCCAGCAAGCCCAAATTCAAGGATTGTTTTGACCATTTTTCCCTGTGTGCCTTAAGACTCCATTCCCCAGTCTGTGGACTCCATACATGGCTGGCTGCTTCCTCCAGACTGGAGAGTCTGTCTTTCCATCTCTATGTACCCTCCTCTGTGTGTCTGACCATGTCTCTCCCTGTGTATGCTCCTCTTGGAGTATCTGTCACTTTCTGTGTATGTTTTTCAGTCTGTATGATTGCTTCTCTCTCTCTCTCTCTCTCTATCTATCTCTCTCTCTCTCTCCCTCTCTCTTTCTCTCTGTGTGTCTCTGTCTCTCTCTGTCTGTCTCTTTCTGTATCTGTTTATGTCTGTCTCTGTCTCTCTGTTTCTCTCTGCCACTGTCTCTCTCTGTCTCTCTCTGTTTCTCTCTGTCTGTCTCTGCTGCTCTGTCTCTGTCTCTGTCTGTCTCTTTGTGCCTCTCTCTCTCTCTCTCTCTCTCTCTCTCTCTCTCTCTCTCTCTCATTTTTTTTTTTTGAGACAGGATCTTTCTATTGTGTAGCTCTCTGGCTGTCCTGGAATTCATCATGTAATTCAGGCTGGACTTGAACTCACAGAGATCTGCCTGCCTCTGGCTCCTGAGTGCAACACCTGGCCTGCCCCTCTCCATTTTTATTTCCCTTTCTCTTTGCTTTCCTGCCTTTCTTTTGCTCTGTCTGTCTGTCTGTCTGTCTGGTTTGTCTGTAAGATCTTGAACAATTCCCTTAACAATGATAGAACCCTTTGGGGACTCTGGGCAGATGTGAATCACTTTCACCCTGGGGCACCCTCTCTCTAGGCTTCCCTGAGAGTAATTGCCCCCCCTCAGCTTCCTCTGAAGCAGGTCAGGGCTACCCCTCAGGTGGGCACCTGTCTGAGCCCAAAGTCATCAGGATGCCTGCGTCTCTGCACCACAGGTTTGCTGAACAGGCCGTCTTCATCTTGTTCTGCACATTTGCCATCCTCCTCTTCTCCCGGGACCCGAAGTTTATCCCTGGCTGGGCCAGCCTCTTCACCCCTGGGTGAGATTCTGCAGACCCACAGGGCAGGGCTCTGTGGGAGGATCTTGGGGTGGCTAGTGTGGAGCTAGATGGGCAGAAGTCCCTCCCAGAAGAGCTTAGGTGGATGCTAACCCTTGGTTTCTCAGGTAACAAGCACTCAGACGAAACTGGGTTAGAATCTCAGTTCACCCTTTATGAGCTACGTGACTCAGTGTGCCTATGTTGCTTCAGTCACTCACTGATGGAGAATACGTCACGTGCTAAACGTGAGACAGTTGCCATGGACACAGACAAGAGCAGGTACTAGACAATCAAGTGACTGCAGCTTGGACTGGGTGCGCTGAAGAAGTGAATGAACTGTTCTGTAAAACAATGGGCTGGGACACTGACTGAATAGTTCTGGAAAGAACTCAAGGCCAGGAACATGGGTCAGGGAGGGGTCACATGTAAGGGTGTAAAACACACCACTAACTACCCTCCAAGAGGTTAGCCCAGGGTTATCTCAGTAGTCACATGTTCCCAATGCCATTACCAGGTTTGTCCCTCGTGAAAGTGGCAGAAAAGTGGCCCCACGTATAGTGTGGGATTGGCCCAGCCCTCCTCCATCTTCTTGGCAACTTCAAGCATTCGTTCAGTGTGAGCTACAAGAGTTGGCAAGTCACTGGGCTTCCCTGAGCTCAGGGCTGGAAAAACCAGGGTTCGAGCCCACCTCCTCCACAGACCATGATCTGGTCTTAAGCAAGTCATTTCTGCTTTCTAAATGCCCCTAAAGCCTACCCTGATGGCCTCATTTCTACCAAGGTCCCACAAAGACATGGTGTGAGTTCTCAAAATGTGGAAGCTGGGTTTGGAGGAGCTGTGAGGCTGGCAGACCTAAGCTTGGCAGGTGTGGATGGCTACCTCTGGTGGTGAGCTACCTGTGCCAGGAAGAACCCCAAGCAGACGCTCCACTCACATACAGGGCTCTTACAGGGTCCGAGTGTAGGTGATTTCTATGTGCTCTCAGGACCCTAACATCCTTTGCCTTTCAACTTCCCCTCTTTGGAGAGTCCCTATTCTAGGTCAGGATTAGGAGAACAGGACTTTGTTTGGAAGCAGTAAAATTCCCTAGGGCTTGGTGGCTAAGGGCTTGGGCCTCCCTTGGTAGCCGTATCTGACTTGGACACAAAGCAGGATGGTGGTCCCACAGCCCTCTGTGTTCCTCCCAGCAGACTTCTCCCAGTCTGCAGATCTGCTTTTGCAAGTCTGCCAATCCATGGCCTGTCCGGAGTCAGAGTCACATGTTGTGGCCTACTCCTTGCAGGTTTGTTTCGGATGCTGTCACCGGTGTGGCCATTGTCACCATCCTGTTCTTCTTCCCTTCCCAGAAGCCCTCACTCAAGTGGTGGTTTGACTTCAAAGGTAAGATGCTCACAGCTAGAGTCTTGGGCTTGATAAGGACTAGACAGGGACCTGGGAACCAGGTCTCAGTGCTGCTAACCACAAGGTCAGTATGCTGCCCTGTTTGAGGACTGGGGACTGCCCCAGGTGACCAGCTAGAACAGGTATTAACAGTTATAGTCCCTGGACAAGATTCATCTGTGTGCCTCCACCCCCAACACGCGTGCGCACACACACACACAGACACAACTCATACACATACACACACACATACACACACACCTCATGAGTTAAGGATGCTTGTCATACTTTCAAATGATTGGAAAAAAGCCAAGAGGAAAAGGTTTCCCTGTATACAACGGTGTGCGAACTTCAGCTCCCAAGGTTCTTTAAAAAGGCTTCAGTGGAGAGGCCCATGCTTTAATCCCAGCACTTGGTGGGTAGAGGCAGATGGATCTTTGTGAGTTCAAGGCCAGTCTGGTCTACAGAGTGAGTTCCAGGAAAGCCAGGGCTACACTGAGAAACCTTGTCTAAAAACAAAAACAAACCAAAGCAAAAAAAAAAAAGCTCCACGTTTTCTCAGTGGATCTTGGAAGCTGTGTGTTTTTAGTTATATGAGTGTAAAGACAATCACCTCAATTTGATCTCTTGGCCCACAAAGCCAAAGTATTTACTTTTCGATATTTTATAGAAAATTCCTGCTCAAGGTAGGAGTTATACCTCAGATGCCTGAAGACCCAGACAGACAAACTTGAGCTTAAATTGAATAGACACAGGGAAGGCAAACCACCTAAAGACATCCCATGGGCTTTTCTAAAAGCCATGATGTGTTCCATTAGTGTCTCCTCTCTCAGAGTCTCCCTCCCCTTGGGGTCTCTACTAAGGCCCCCCAGTTTCCCTGGGCCTGGCTCCGCACTTACACAGCCAGGATCCTGTGGATGCCCTGGTTCTGGAGCTCGTCATTCGATAGATAGGACTTGCAAATTCTACTGCCTCTAGAGAGGGCATTTGGGTTCAACTGAGCGGTAGCAGGAAAGTGTAGCTCACAGGGCACATGGCTTCCTAGTCCGCTGCCCTGTCACATGTTCGCAACAAAGGACAGTTTCCATCCCATAAGGCTCAGCAGCAGAGGGTGAGTTCATCACTTATCTCGGAATTGTGATTAAATACCTGCGCAGAAACACACTGGACAAGACCTGCTGCTTTCGTCATCTGCAATCAAAAGATAGTTCCAGTGAAGAACTGTCTGGTTGCGGGTGGTTGTGGGCTTGTCTGTGGGGAATTGGATTGACTTCATTATGTTCACTGGTTTTGGATGAACCGGTTTAAAAGTGTTCAGAGCCATTGCTGGGTTCTGGCCGTGGAGTGTAAGGAACAGAGAAATGGGACTAAGCAGCGAGCGAGCTTGTGTGTGCTCGTCCTCTCTCGGCTCTTGTCTCTGAGTGTCTGACTACTTGAGTTCCTGCTGTCACCATTCCCCGACAAGGCAGACTGTGACCTGGAATCATGATCTGAGCAAATGCCCCTCAGATACTCTCTGTTGGGACGCTTTATCACAGCAGCAGGATGAACGGAAGTAGATTGCTTTGTCCCACTTAGAGGGGAAACAATCCATCATGGTGGAGAAGGCATGGCAGCAGGATCCGGACCGCGACATCACATCAGCAGTCAGGAAGCTGAGAGAAGTGAAGACAGAGCTCAACGCCCCTTCTCTTTTATATTTAATCTCAAACCCTGCCCCATGGGCGGCTGCTGCCCCGCCCACATTCAAGGTGGGTATTCCCTCTTCGGTTAAACTTCTCTAGAAACACCCTCATAGACACACCAAAGGTGTGTTGCCATGGTGACACCAGTCAAGCTGACAAAAAGACTAATCCTCACAGAATAACCATGATGGTAAGGCCTCCGTCCCTGGGCACGTTGAGTCTGTTCACACTTGCACCTGGAAATTCCGAAGATGTCGTTCTTTTTCGTTGCAGAAAACCAGAACTAGTTTTCATTAAAATTTTCTAATTTTTTTCCAGAGAAGCAAAGAATCTCAATTTCCACATGAAATTTCCCCTAGTTTTAGATATCGCCCAATAATTCAAATTGCGAAGCCAACACAGGGGGCCTTAACAGTAGCGTGGAATCCTTTAGTGTGACCAGTCAGGTCCAGAGAGTCGCCATGTCCCCTCTGCAGAGCAGGGTCAGGATGGAGTCTCTGGCATGAGAGCGTGGGCAGGGACAGGGACTCCATGCTTGGCCATCCTTGGACTGTCAGGTAGCTTGCACAGAAGTGACCGAGGCAACGTGTTGTAGTGTCTCTCCATGAAGTAGGAACCATGGGGCCTTGGCGAGGGGCCACTGGGTTTCCATGGAAAAAGCTCACCTGATAAAGATCACAGACCTAGTTAAAAAGAGGTAAGCTATAGAATCCAGGCCGTGTTGGTATCCTGTTCATACAGACTGCCTCCTCTTCATGGGTCTGAGTGACACTGATGTATTTAATCGTCAGTGTTAGACTAGGGCCTCGGTAGCTGAGCACTGTGCTGTGGTTGATAAGTGGATGGTGATGATGGTGATACTTAAGATGATGGTGATGCTGATGCTGGTGAGGGCAATGATGGTGATGATGGTGGTGGTCAGGATGATGATGGTAAGGATGATGGCAAAAATAACTCTAATTTCTTCCCTGCCCAACCAGCTCTTCCTCCAGATGTCTGCCTAGCTTACTCAGCTGCATCATTCAGAGCTCTTCCCAAATGCCACCTCCCCGGAGAAGCCCTCCCCGAATACACCGTCTCTCTCTGTTCTATTACTTATTTGGTTGTTCCTTACAACACATGATATTTCCCAACACTGAGGTGTCTTGATCTATTACGTGTCTTCCCTGGGGAATGTCTCCTCTCCAGGGAGAGCTGGTCTCCGTACACTTCTGTGTTCATGACGTCAGGAAGAGCATTGAGCACATGGTGGACTTGTTGGGGTATATTTGTCAGACAAAAAGCCCAGGCTTGGTGTGATCTCCTCACACTCCTGAGTCCTTCTTACAGAGGCCAAGGCATCCACTTATGGGGTGTGCTAACTTGGTGCCCCAAGTCTGGCAGTCCCCTGCTTTTGTTGACAAACTGCAGTTTACTGTCAACCACAGGTCTGGCCTGCAGAGCCTTTCCCATCTCCCTCCAACCCCAGGGCTAGCTGCTTGCTGCCCGTCTACCCCACTGCTGTATTGTTGTTCAGTGCCACTTTCCAGGAAATAGCAGCCACCCCACAATGCAGTGAGCTTAAGAACCCTGGTGTCTATTTTTCTGTTTCCTTCCTCTTTTAGCCCTTTGTTTTTGGGGTATGGGCATTCTAACCGAAAGGCCAAGTCCACCACTTCTCCTGGGTCTTTGATCCCTACAGACCCAGAGCCTGAAGCACCCAGGCCTCCTGGACTGCAGTCTGGGACACAGAAAGCTGTACAGAGACCCACTCTCTCCGTGGAGAATGGGTATTCAAAGCCAAAGTGCCAAAACCACTTGTCCCAGGTCCACAGTCCCCACATTCAGACACAGAGAAAAGCCTTTTATCTTGTAAATGAGAAAAAAATAGCCCTTAGCCAGGAAGGCTGGTGAGACATTTAAACAAGGCATATGGAGAGCCTGGGGTCCAGAATCTTCTTAACTACAGGAGCCTCGAAAATTATTTCCATTCTGATTAGAATGAGGCTGGGGTTCTCCCTAAATCCCCAAAGCAGATGTTAGAAGTAGATGTAGCTTCCTGGGGTCCCCGAAAGTCCCCACAGAGATGAGGTTACAGGCCTGGCATCCCCAGCCAAGCAGCTCCAAAGTCGAAGCCAACTGGGTCCTTTCCTCTACCTAGCTCCCAACTCAGAGCCGGAGCCCCTGCTGAGCTGGAAGAAGGCCCAGGAGACAGTGCCCTGGAATATCATCCTCCTCCTAGGAGGCGGCTTTGCCATGGCCAAAGGCTGTGAGGTGAGAACTGGGGTGACTCGGGGGCAGTGCACCAGCTGAGGGAGGACTGTGGCCAGGGAGGAGCAGGGGGATGTGCAGGGAGGAAGGAAGGGGCTGCTGAGCATGGAGAGAGTGGAGGCTCTGGTGAGGTGAAAGGGCAGCTGCTGAGGCCCGGGGAACCAGGCTTCGCCAGGGAGGAGGGGCCCCTGTGACAAGAGACGGAAAGGACGGAGGCTGTGGGCTTAGGAGGAATTGGGGCTGTGGGAAGGAAGGGGGAGTCCTGCAGCCCAGGAGGCCTGGGTGTTGCAGGCCCCAGATTCTGTGGAGATTGTGGACCCAGGAGAAGTGGCGTTTGGGGGCTGCTGCTGAGTAGGCCTGGAGCTATGGGCCTGGAAGTCATGGCCACCTCTCCTACTTCAGCTCCAGGGAGCAAGCTAGGAGAGAGCCAGGCCCTGCTCCTCAGGTTAGGACAACCCTTAATTCCAGCCTGTGGGTCTGCCTTCAGTGCCTGGTGGTGTAGAAAGGAGGACGAGGTCCTGGGGTCCCACAATAGACACACTCCAACGCTAGCACTAGTCTTGGGGTGATCCAGAGCACATGAGTCACCCCACTTCTGAAGGACCCTAGGGAGACCTCCTCACAAACCTCTGAAGCAGATGCTGCTGTTACCCCATTCAGTGCAAGAAAGCCAGGACACAGAGAAGGAAACTGAGTTGACTAAGGTCACACAGCTATGGAGGTGGGCTTCAAACCCAGGCAGGCTGACCCCCCCCAAAGTCTGTGGCCTTGACCCCAGTGACATGAGTGTTAGATATTGAGGGCCGTTCTCAGCGATTTCTGCTAAACCCAAATCTGTGAGGAGAAAGACCAGTTCCACAGCTGTCTGGTTGAAGCTAGCTTTCTTTTAGACTTGAGCCTGGGACTGGTCAGCTGGTAGTCTCACCTCAAGTCAAGATTTCAGTGAGCAGCCCTTTCCTCGCTGGCTTTGTGGGGATCTGTCTTACGGGGAATGGTGATCATATCTCATGATGTAGGTGGTCGTGGGTTCTGAGCAAGATACCTTGAAAATGGATTTTTGTAAGGCAAAGGGTGACCATGGGTTCATGAGCTCAGCAAGGCAAAGGGCGGTCATACATCATGGGGTCACAAGGTCAGAACAGGTTAAAAACATGTTTTCCTGGGCACATTAAGTTTAGGAAATAGAAACTCATTCTCCTAAGGTAGGAAGACAATAACAATGTATAACAATGTGGCTCCTTACAACAATGTGGCTCGGGTTCTGGTTTGGCATTTACTGAGACTGAGCTCAGAGGCAGGCTGGGACCAGGGTAGGCACTGCCCAGGTAGGAAGCTCCTAGGAACAGTTTCAAGCTTGCCTACTTTCGACGTCAGACTTGTTCACTGGTGAGGTCAGGGTCAACCAGCCCTGATACCAACAATGCAACTGAGGCATCATCTCATTTAATCTTGACCCCTGGCCCTAGGATGGAAGTAATATTTCTATCCCCATTTTACAGATAGGAAAAGTGAGGCAGTGGATAAATTAAGCTCCAGAAGCTCTGCATAGGTGCAGTGACCCAAGCTGGACTTGGTTCTAAGGTCTAGAAACCTCATACATGCCCTACAGAGCTCGGATGCCAGGCTGAGGGGCTTTCCAGGCAGTGACTCATTGCCTTCAGAAAACCCCTGACTCACAGTGGCTATTCTAGCCCTGCCCAGCGCATCTCATCCTATCCCAGTCTGCTCCAGTTTCTCCCATCCCATTCCACTCCAGTCCACTGAGACAGGGTCTCATGTAGTCTGGCATCAAACTTGCTACATAGCCAAGGATGACCTTGAACTCCTGGTCCTCCCACCTCCAGCTCCCACCTCCCAAATTCTGGGATTACAGGCATCTGCCACCATGGCTCTTTTATGCAGTACTAGGGAATCAAACCCAGGCCATCATGCATCTGAGATGTGTCCTCAGCAGCCATCCCTATTTCAAAGATAGAGGAACCAATTGCTAACAGTTTGCTTAGCCAGGGGAGGGCAGCACCAAGAGATTCCAGGCCTAGCACTTGAGAATCAGCTCCACCTCAGGCTAAGGAGGTCTCTGAAATAGGGAAGGCTGAACCTTCTCACATGGTGTACCTGGGAAGGCTTACTAGAGGACACAGCATGTTGTCCAGGTTTGGAGGGTCAGGCCATGCAATGGGACCAGACTGTCTCTATTAGTATCACAAATTTTCTTACGTGTGACCTTGGTCAAGTTGCTAAATCTTCTGGATCTCAATTTCCTCATCTGTAAAATGAGAATGACGAGGCAGCCACCTGCATGCGTCACAATAATGTTATAGGGTGAGAGAGAACTTAGGGCACAGCCCGATGTGGTTTGCTGTTTGGATTAGACGTTAGAGAAAGGGCCAGTGAAGGGAAGTGGAGAGGCTCGGGCCTACACGAGTCAGCGGCTGAGGTGCGTTTTGCTAGTGACTGGCACAGCCTAGGCCTGTAGCAGGAGCTGCCAGAGACCCTGTACCCCAGAGGATTGGTGGAGAGGCACTGCCTCTGGGGATGGGATGCGGGGCCATAATACATGCTGGGAGGCCAGTGCTGGGCAGCCAGCCAGGGTTTGCACTCAGTGGAGCCATTGTCTACCAGCTGCCCCTCACCCCAGCTCTGCCCCTCGGCAGCATTCGCCGGCATAATCTGGTCCAGGAGCCACCAGGAAGCTTGTGACACCTCTTGGCTTCTGGGACCTGTCCCTTCACCAGGCTGCATCAGGCTGCCCAAGGATTGAGGATCCCTGGCAGGAGGATTGGTGGGTCTGGACCTGTGGCTTCCTCAGGCCACCTGCTGCAGAGCGTGCACTAAACACCCTTCAGCGCTGGGCTGAAGGCTTCCCTGGGCCTCTACATGGAGCCATGCACATCCGGCCCCTGCCTCCCTCCCTGCCAGTGTACGCAGCTCCCTTCCCTTCTCACTGCAGCTCAATGGCCCCTTCTCTTCATCAGCTAGGCAGACTCCTTTCCACTCCAGAACGTTCTCTAATGACCTTTCACTGTGATCTGAGTCCTTGATCTTCAGGTCTTGACTCCTCAGAGACTGAAGCCGTGTCCCTTAAAGCCCGACTCCCTGCCCCTCCCCCTCTTGGTACCCAGTGACTCCCGAATTACTCTGCTTTCCGCCTGGGGCCCTCTCCATCAGGAAAGTATGAAGCCACCCATCCTTCCCACCACTGTTCCGGGCACCCAGGAGTGGCCTGATACTTAGTGCGGCCCTTGCTTTAGCCATTGTCACATTTACTGGGACAAACTCCCCGATGTAGAAAACGGAAGGAAGGAAGGAAGGAAGGAAGGAAGGAAGGAAGGAAGGAAGGAAGGAAGGAAGGAAGGAAGGAAGAAAGAAAGGAAGGAAGGAAGGAAAGAAGGAAGGGTGGGTTGATTTACTCTGTTCTGTCTCCTGGTTTGAGGATACAGTCCATGATGGCAAGGAAGGCAGGCTGGCAGGAACATGTGGCGGCTGGTTACATTGTATCCACAGTCAGGAAGCAGAGGGCTGAAGGTATTTGGCTCGCTGTCCTTCTATGCAGTCAGGATCCCAGCCTATGGGGCTGGTCTTCTCAGTGAAATCTTTCTGGAAACATCCTCATGGACACACCTGGAGGTGTGCTTCCACAGCGATTTCAAGTCCAATCGAGTTGACTATGAAGATGACCCAACCCAGTGCCCAGAAGATCTGGGTTGAGCCACGGCCTAGTGTGAACATGCTAAGGCCCCCAGAGAAGTTTCTGGAAGAGAGTGGGTCCCTGCTATTGCCATGAGCACATAGAACCTCGAAGCTGTCTAGTGTCTGCTCTTGCACTGGTACCTCATGCATGTAAATCACATCTTACATACAAATCTACCAGGCTCCAGGAGGTTAAGTCAGAGGCAGTGAGTCCTGGAGGCAGACAGAGGTATGCTCCAATCTCTGCTGGAAATCACAATCGGTTTTTCTGTGTGACCTGTTAATGGTGGTGCGTGCCTACCAGAACGGCTAAGATTCAGAGCCCAAGCTCAGAGCACATCTGTTGACTCTATTCTAGTCAGGGTTACTAGTGCTGTGATGAGATACCGTGACCAGAGCAAGTGGGGGGGATGGGATTATTTCAATGTATACTTCCAGGAAATACCCCATCACTCAAACAGGGTAGGAACCTGGAGACAGGAGCTGGTGCAGAGGCCATGGAGGGGTGCTGCTTACTGCCTTGCTCCGTATGGCTTACTCAGCCTGCTTTCTTATAGAACCCAGGACCACCAGCCCAGGGGTGGCCCACCCACAATGGGGTAAGTCCTCCTGAGCCACCACTAATTAAGAAAATGCCTTACAGCTTGGAAGCATTTTCTCAGTTGAGGTTCCCTCCTTTCAGATAATTCTAGCTTGTGTCAAGTTGACATAAAACTAGACAGAATAAGCTCCTTGTGCCTCGGTTTCTTCAACCATAAAATGGGAAAGATCACACCATACTTCATGTATGGTCATAGAAATTAAATTAATATTAGCAAAGTATGTGGGGAAACGCCCAGCATGGAGGAAAACACTCTATTGCTTATTAGATTACTTAAAAAACAACAAATCCTTTCCCATGCTATTTTTACAGACACCCATTAATCCTCAGAGTCCTTAAAGAAGTGGAAGAACAGAGATGTTAGGTCACTTATCTAAGGTCACAGAGCTCTTATGTGCTGCAATGGTTAAATGCTCCCCCCCCCCAAAACACACACACACACACACACACACACACACAGAGCAGCCATCTCTTTACTCAAGCTTGCTTTGTTTCTTCTAAGAATTAGTTTACTGTGCTGAGTCTGCTGTGTTTTAGAGAGATTTCCCAGGCCCCCAGTGTTACATTCTTGCGGCCTTGATTAGGTTCGTTTTCTCTGCCACTCAAAGAATTAAAAGGCAGGGGGAGAAATTGAACTGGAAAAGTAGCAGCAGGGAAAATCTCAAACACAGCTTACAGCAGCAGAGTTAGCTGGGAAAAGAAGGGTTTTTTAGGGGTGAGGAACAATCATGTACACACATACACACATACACCAAGAGAGAGAGACAGAGACAGAAACAGACAGAGACAGACAGAGAGACAGAAGGAGACTGAGGGAGAGACAGAGAGACAGAGAAGGAGAGAGAGAGAGAGAGAGAGAGAGAGAGAGAGAGAGAGAGAGAGAGAGAGACTCCACAGAGCAAGAGCATAGTAGGGACTTGGAAAGCTAAAATGCACTCTCTCCATGAGGGTTAGGGTTTTAAGGGTCTTTAAGGCACATCCCTCCCCACCACTCAGGGTTGGTCAGTTTGGACAAAAACAGAGAGGCTAACAGGCACCACTTTGGGGTAAGCATGTCCTGGTCTGGCCTAGTACTTGTTGGCCTGGTCCATCAGCCATGGGAGTGGGGGTGGGAGACTACTGTCAAGTGGAAAAGCTACCAGAGCTTTGTCTTAACCTGTGGGGCTTTTGTCTCAGGTCAGGAGGGTGAGGAAGAAATGGGAGGCTTGTCACCCTTGGTATCCACTTGCAGCCCTTCTTCCTGTCTGTCTGCCTGTCCGTCTCCTAATCCCTCAGAGATTTGAGATTTTGAGCACTGGACTTGAACCGTCCTTAAGAAACATGGCCACACTATGCTCACTATGAGAGCCACACTATGCAAAGATGAGCGCACGGGAAAAGGGTCTAGCTGAAGAAAAGGGAGGGGAGGAAAACATCACCCTGATAGCTCAGTCTCCCTCCGTCCCCTTCTGCATAGTGACCTTGGGTCTGCTGGTCACCTCTGGAGTCTTTCGGGAACACAGTCTGACAGCCACTGGGTCAGTCAGCTCTGACTTCTCCCCACACGCATCGGGTGACCTCGAGTGACCGCTGGCCATGTAACACTCGTGGTGCCCAAACACTGTGCTGAGTATTTTAGATCAGCTGCTTTCTCCCTTATAACCTCTGGTCTAAAGATAAGGAAACTGAGTCACAGGGAAGGTGAAGGGTTACCTGGGAAACACACTTAATCCAGCTAAGCACAGTCCCTTAGTTCTGGCTGCTGCTGGTCTCCGGCCTCCCAGGGAATTTGGGGGCTGTGTTTCTAAGGAAACCAAGCCCATGGTTCCTGGGGGGGAATTGAAAAGGGCTGAAAAAAATCCCTTTAGTGTCCCCAACAGAACCGTAGGGAGCAGAGAAGAAGATGCCTTCCATTTGGAAGCCCAAGTCAAGGCAATAGTTGGCAAGGGTCCTCTCACTCGGAGGCCAGGCCACAGGAAGCTCTTGACTGGACACTTGCCTGGTCATTAACAGGCTTTCTCAGCAGTGCACAATGTGCCAGACCATGGCTTGAGGGAGCACCAGATGTCCTATGCTCCCTGTAGCAAGACAGGCTGCTCCGGCCTCTCTCTCTCTCTGCAGGTTGTATAAATGCCTTAACGCTACAAGGACTCTCCTAGGGTGACATATGTCTAAACTGTCATTTGTTTTTGTTTTGATTTTTGGTTCTTTGATTTTGATTTGTTAAGATAGAGACTCTTATATCCCTGACTGGCTTGGAACCTGGTATGTAGCCAAGGCTGACCTTGAATTCTTAATCATTCTGTTTTCTACTTTCCAAATGCCAGAATAAAGGTGTGAGCCATCACACCCAGCTTCTTAAGTCTTATTACTCTGGCCCTGGAAGTAACATCTCAGGTAAATCAGAGAAGCAAATGTGTTGTTCTGTCTGGACAATAACTTCTGTGCCCCAAATCTATCAAGAAATCTTCTAAAGACAGATATGATGACTCAGGCATGCAATCCCAGCTACTCAGGAGAGTGAGGTAGGAATGTCAAAAGTTGAAGGCTAACCTGGGCTACAGAGTGAGGTCAGGGCTAGCCTGGGCAACTTAGAACCACGGTAACAAAGAAAGTGTGGACTGCAGGTAGAGCTCAGTTTCAGAGCACTTGCCTGACATGTATAAAGTTCTGGGTTTAGTATCCAGCCTTGCAAAGGTAAATAAATACATTAATAAGAAATATAACTTCAGAATGAGCAGTGAATGTTCCACACACTGTGAACGAGCAGGCCTCAAGCACCTCTCATTCGTGATGGTTTGATTCTCAGCATTTGGGTCATCCACCTCTGCCTTGGTTTAGCCCCTAAATGATACCATGTTAATATTGGCTTCTTGTGGCTACAATATTGATTACTTATCATTGTGAAAAAATGTCTTTAGGGCTGCTCATAAGTCTATTGTGTCACATTTGCTATATCAGGCATGTGCTGTCTGTTTTCTTTTCTGTTGATGTGATTTAAAAAAAAAGCAACTTAAGTGATAATGGATTTATTTCTATTCACCACTCCAGGTTAACGTCCGTCATAGTAGGGAAGTCAAAGCAGGAACCTAAGGGGGTGGGTCACATTCTGCCCATAATCAGAAAGAAACAATGAGTGAGTGCATACTTGTGCTCAGCTTGGGCTCCCTACTCTTATAGAGTCCAGGACCCAAGCCTAAGGAATGGCTCTGCCCATAGTGGGCTGTGCTTTCCCACATCAATTGACACAATCAAAACAATACCTTACACACTTGCCCACAGGCCAGTCTGATCTAGGAAATCCCTCTCTTCCCAGGTGGTTCTAAAATGTGTCAAGTTGATAATTTAAACTAACCGTTATGTATGTTTTATATTACAAATAGTATATGGGCTGTAATATATTCTATACATAGTAATGTGTCATCATGTGGTAACAATACTTCATTTTTTTATGGACTATATGAGTGGTGACTTAGCCATAAGGGCCCATCTGGTTCCCACTCTCCCTCAAGCTAGAGCTTTGGGTGCTAGACCCAAATGGAAACAGAGACTCTGTTTTCTAACTAAATAGATCATGGGGTCCCCTGGGCCATGGCCTGTAGAACATGTGGTGACAGAGCATGCACCAGAGGCTGCCTGTAAAGGGCAGTACTGGATAGACTGAGACCGAAGGTATGTCTGTCTGCTCACAGGAGTCGGGGCTGTCAGCGTGGATCGGTGGGCAGCTGCACCCCCTGGAGCATGTCTCCCCACTGCTGGCTGTGCTGCTCATCACCGTGGTCATTGCCTTCTTCACAGAGTTCGCCAGCAACACAGCCACCATCATCATCTTCCTGCCCGTCCTGGCAGAGCTGGTGAGGATCCTCGTGGCCTAACTCCCAACTCAGAGTCCCGTGCTATAGAGCTTCCCTGAGGCTCCAGCTGCCCTGCTTGCTTCCAGAATGCACAAGAGAGTTTGAACCACAGAGCCAGTTCACAGAAGACAGGGGCTTCTTTCTTAAAGGAATACCTAAGAAGTGGGGTAGATCCTTTGTGGGAGAGTTAACTCAAGAGGACATCCTGTGTTTCTCAGGAAGAGAAAGGATTTGGGTTCCATGGAAATCCGTGAGTCACCAGACCAGCACAGGAGAAGGCCTAGCCATAGCCCAGCCCTGTTGCCTCCTGTTTTAGTCTAAAAATGTCCTGCAAGAAAGAGTTCCCCTGCAAATTGTGGGGTGTCAGAGCATTCTCCACCTTTCACCCACTAGAAGCCAGCACCACCCTGTAACAGTGGCAATCCAAGATGTCACCAGACATTGCCAAGAGTCTCCTGGGAGGACAAATCTCAACCTGTTGAGACCCTCTGCTATAAAAGGCGCTGGGCAGTCTCAGATGGGCTAGGGTTGGGGAGTGGTAGTTCAGGGTGATTTATGCAGAACCCTCTTTTGCTAGGCAAGCAAGATCCAGCGAAACTCCCACCTGCAAGTTCCTACTCACCCCAGCCATTCCTGGGGCACAGAAAGATGCAAGACAGCCTTGTGAACTATGATGGATTCAGAAAGGAAAAAAAAGTCCCGAGGAAGCTAGGCAGGAAGAAAAAGCAGGAGAAAGTGAGCCGGCATGCAAGGAGACCGACGCTTGGCTGAGATCCAGCCAGTGCGAGCTAAGGGCACTAGCTAAGGGCACATGCTGCCAGCAGATAGACTTCATTCTAGGGCTAAAAAGTCAGCTTGATCTCGTGGTACGTAACTTTAATCCCAGCACTCTGGAGGCAAAAGCAGGCAGATCTCTGTGAGTTCAAGGGCCAGCCTGGTCTACACAGTAAGCAAAGATAGGATAGCTAGGGCCACATAGAGAAATGCTGCCTCAAAGCGGGGATGAGGGGGTGGGGGGGAAGGGGGGGGAGAGAAAAACGGGGGGGGGGGTAGGTATTAGGAAACTGGGGATTTCTGTTTTATAGTTAAACAGATTAGAGAAAAGCAAGCCATAGGACCTCATAGAACCCAAAACTGATAAGATGAAGCAGTGTTGCCACCTTTGGAGGGGGGCTTGGCTTTACCTCCTTATCTCTTTATTATGTTTCTATTTTTAATTGAGGTGACACTGTATCAGCCACAGACTGTGGTCTTTTTTCCAACCCCTGAAACAGATTCTGTTGTCAATGGATAGTGTTTACACACTGTCCTAATGGTCTCACAGACATTTCCAGAAAGCCCCACATGGTTAGTGTTTAAGGTCTGTCCTAATGGACAGGCAGACATTTCTAGAAAGCTATCACCAGCAGCTGATCCTCCCCTTTAGTGCACAAGCTGCTAACATCAAGACAAGCTTCAACCTGGAGTTCCTAGGTGGAAGAACATGAACACTGGAAAGTGTGCCGGATGCAAGCAAATTGCCCTCAGTATGGGCATCCTGGAGTCCTTGAGCCCTTGCCGAGTGCGATTGGATTAATCAGAGCCTGTTCTGAAGTGTAGGGCACCTGGTAACAGATGGAGACAGGGATGCTCAGAGACGGTATGGAGGAGGGAAGGAGCTCAAAGCCTGTGAGGCTGTAACTGGCTGTTCCTAGAAAAGATGCCAGGAAAGACCATTGCAATGTGGCTTCTCATCAAAATCAAAATATTTACAGACTGAGGATGACGGTAGAGCCTATGGAGGAAATACTCACATTTCCGGTTGCAGAAATTCCCTCTAAGGGATTTTCAGAGATGTGGTCAGTCTAGAGGGTAGGTAGCATCTGAGACCAAGTCCCACTGAACTCTCCACCTTAGGACAGTGCTTGCTCTCTCAGCTCCAGCCAGGCCCTGACCAAAGGTGCCATGTGGCAGCTTCTAAGATGCCATAGATGAGGGAAGGGCCAGCTTGGCTATGTGAGCCATTGTTCTCGGCCTATGGCCCTGGACCAGCTCCAGCCTGGGCTCCTGGGAACAGAAGAGAGATACAGTGTCTTGGGTCCCACTGAGACCTCTGGATCTGTTACTCTGGAGGAGCTGGGACCACAAGATCACGCATATTGTAAGGAGGGTTCTAAATAAGTTTCTTTGCCTGTTCCCTGGTCAAAGGCAGTGTGGCACTGTCATCACTGACCTTAAATTCTTCCATTTCCCTAAAACTGCATGTCATGTGTGTTGTGTGTCTTTCTACATTTCTGTCTCTGTCCGTCTTCTCATATGCCTCTACAGTTCTGTAACTGTGACAATCTCTGTATCACTGACACTCTCTTTCCAATGGTCTCAATTTCTCACTGGGACTCCTTCTGCCCAGGCCATCCGACTGCACGTGCACCCCTTGTACCTGATGATCCCAGGCACGGTCGGCTGCTCCTATGCCTTCATGCTGCCAGTCTCAACACCCCCCAACTCTATTGCCTTCTCCACTGGACACTTGCTGGTCAAAGACATGGTGAGTGTGGGCCTTCCCAGCAGTGGCCTGGCAAGAGGAGGGGTGGGTGACGGCCAGATACAGCCAGCATTGCCAGTCTGTTCCATGCCCCATGTGAATCTCCCCACTGAGAGTTGTCATCCTCCCCTCCTTTCTTTCCTCCTCCCCTCCCCCTCCTTCCTCTCCCCTCCCTTCCTCCCTCCCCTTCTTCCTCTATTTTTCTCTTCCTCTATACCAGTGGTTCTCAGCCTCCCTAATGTTTCAACTTTTTAATACAGTTCCTCATGCTGCGGTGACCCCACCCCCACCCAATCATAAGCTTATTCTCACTGCTACTTCATAACTGTAATTTTGTTATTGTTATGAATTGTAATGTAAAATATCCATATTTCCTGGTGGTCTTAGGCAACTCCTGTGAAAGGGTCATTCAACCCCCCAAAGGGGTCACGACCCACAGGTTGAGAACCACTGGTTTATGCTCCAGTTCTTCCTTCTCTTCCTCTTCCTTCTCCTCTTCTGCCTCTTCCTTCTCTGTCTCCTTCTTTTTCTCTCCTTCCTCTTCCTCTGTCCAAAGCCACCATTACCCCATGCATCCTATGCTCACACAGCTGAGGACAGTCTACTGAAGCAGACATAAGACCCCAAAGACATAAAGGGGGGGACAGAGCGAGAGTGAGGAAGAAGCTGAGGAAAGCACTCCCTCCTGGGCTCTTTCCTTAGTCGGGTTTGCCTAGTGTAATCTGTGATCCGGCCACTGGGGGGCAGCACTGCAGGAGACGCAGCAGTCTGCTTCCTGGGAGGGTAGGTACTTTCTGTGGCTGGAGTCAAACTGGAAGACTATTCCTCACACATTAAAAATAGTGTGAATTTCAGAATTGCTAAGTGGAAAAAAAAAAGATACAAGATGCCGGAGATCGAAACAGAATGACGGCGTGGTGCAGACTGCCCTCCTCGAAAATGATTCACCAGATTTGCAAGGAGCCATGGCCCTGTGGAGTTGGGGGATGGAGTGGGGCTCTCCAGGCAGAGAGCACAGCCCATGCAAATGTCTGAAGTAGTGTCCATATCACCAGATGTACAGGATCAGGGGCTGCTGGGGCTGGGTGGGATCAGACAGGAATGGGGTTATTAGATGCAGGGGTCTGGGCTTTCAGAAAGGAGGCGCAGAACAATTGAGATGTTTCATTTTTGTGACCCTGGCTGGCCTTGAACTTGCAAGCTTTCAAAAGCAAAAACAGCTGTCACATCAATGCGGCGAAGAGATGGTTTATTCTGGAGTCAAATATAATTCGACCCAGAAACACAGATTCCAGGGGCTACAAATGCCACTGTGTTTTAGTGTGCTAACAACTTCTCAAAGTTTCATAGTAACAGAACGGAGAAAGTCGTAAGTCGAGGCACTTTCAAAATATGTTAGTAGAGAGATCAGATAGGCCGGTTAGCTGTCATCCCAGCTCTTGGAAGGCGGAGGCAAGAAGACCAGGAATTCAAGGCCATCCTCAGCTACATGCTGAGTCTGAGGCCAGCCGAGGCTAAGAGTCCCTGTCTCAAAATGAAAACACTTCCCTTAACTGGCCCTCCAGTGTGTGTGTACTTGTACACACTTGTGCCTGTGTACACATGTGAACATGTATTTGTACCTGTGTCTACATGTGTGTGCTGAGTACTAAGACTATTGGACAAGGCTTGCCTTTCTCTGACTTGAGAGGAAATTGATAACTTTGTTGAAGTGGCCTTGTGGTTAATTGGCATAACCCATGGCCACTCTGTAGCCAGGTGTGTGACACCTAGAGACCCTTAATGGAGGAAATGTCACCGGGCCTGGAGACTAGCCCAGGTCCTGGGAAGCATCTGTGGCTTATACTTGTGGCTGGCTCTAATATGCCCAGCTGTGCACTGCCAGCTGTTGGCTGAGCCAGCATCTTCCATGTGCTCTGAGGGCCTGTATTGCTCAGTTTGCTCGGTCTCCACTGCAGGTGCGGACCGGCCTCCTGATGAACCTCATGGGTGTCCTGCTGCTCAGCCTGGCCATGAACACCTGGGCGCAGACCATCTTCCAGCTGGGCACCTTCCCAGACTGGGCCAACACCCACACTGCCAACGTCACCGCACTGCCACCTGCCTTGACCAACAACACAGTTCAAACCCTCTGAGCTCTGCTGGGGACTTCTTTTTCCGGCTGGGCCTTCCCCAGAGGGCTGTTGCTGTCACTTGTTGCTAGGATCCTACAAGCTGATCGAGCAATTCTTTCCTGTAATCTGATAGGAGGCAGCAAGCAAGGATGACCTCCAGTTCACTGGGGCCACGGGCCCACTGTCTGCAGCACCTTCTCTTCCTTTCTCATGCATCTCAAAGCCAGCTATCTCCTGTGCCCGCTGCCTGCGGAACAGGCTTTTCTCCCCGAGCTGGTCTGTGGCCAGGGTGCAGGAAAGTCCACTTCAGCCGTGAGGAGCAAAGCTGAAATGGCATTTGTTTTGCACACCTGGGGACGAGGGTTTCCGATGCTCATGGGTGCCATTGGCTTTAGGTCTCTGGAGATGTCACCACTTCAGAGACTGGAGGGGCTTTGTGACTGCAAAGCTCCAGGCCAGGTGTTACAGCTGTTGACAGCAGGCTGGATTCTGCCCTTTCTGTTTAACCATCTCCCTTTTGGATGGTCCGGGCAGCTAGAGGTTGGCTCCCATTGCCTGAGGCGAGGGAGGACACGGATCTTCCTGGAGTCTCTCGGCTGCTTCCTCAGCCCCCCAGGCAGCACACCATGGGGGTTTGAGAAACCCCAGCTTACGTATCCACCCAAGATGCTTGCGGTTCTCTTCTTTTCATTTGATTTTCTTAGGCCCTAGCTCTGGGTCAGCCCTGCTAGGTCCTTGGGAGGGGCTCTGTGGCTGCAGAGCTGTTTGTATCCTGACAACTGGGTTTGTCCTCCCTACTCCCACCCCATGTGATTAGTAAGTCTTATTTGCAAAGGTCAAGGTCTTGAGGGGTGAGAGAAAAATCTGAAGGTCAGTGGAGACCTCGGAGAAAACCAGGACAAAGTGTCTTAGGCCAGAACTATGCTGAAACATTGTAACAGTGTGACACTGTAACATTGTGCAGATGGAGACACACCCCCCAACACCCACACCCCTCCCAGAAAAGCCTTCCCCCAGAGGCTGAAGCTGGGAAGCAGACAGTTGCTGTCCTTATTACCAGTAAAAGTCTCTAGCATTCTGTGAACAGCACAATGTGGGTGGGGACAGTGGGTGGCTCGGGACTCTGCTGACACCTGGGGGTGGAGCCATCACTTCCTCCAGAGGGTGGACATCCTGGGGATGGACACTTTATGATACAGCACAAGTAAGTCAGAGTGTTTTCCCAGAGCAGGGGTGGAGGGGGCCCTGAGCTGGAGGTGACAAAGTAAGACTGAATCAGCTTCAGCGTCCCCTGAGGCTGAGGTAGCATCCCTCAGGGGACAAGGAAGGGCATGTACAGAGAAGACCACGGCCTTGGGACCCCAGGACTCATGATTCCTGATACTGCTGATCAAAAATGCACTCAAATAAAGAATGTTGGTCAATACTGGATACGATGACTCTTGGCCTTTCAGAATGAAACCCCAGATTCATGGTCAGGACTTCTGTAAATCTGACCTTCAACTTCCCTTCCTGCACCGTCTCCCCTGTGACCACTTCCTGAGCTCTGGGATGCTGTGGTGTTTATTCCCCTCCTCACCCTATACAGTAGAAACAACAGAAGCCGTTCTCTGGCTCCCTGATGTAACTCAGAAGTCTGGACGAGGTTCCAGCACACTGCCAGTGCTCAGTGAACACTTGACCCATGAACTGACGGCAGGTTTGAACGTGACCTCCGTTCTTTCTTTATGCCTCCCCTTGGTCTATTCGGCAGGTACTTAGCCTGTGATGTGCTGGTTCAAATGTAGCAGAGGAAATAGGCAGTGGGATATATATACAATGACAGTCACCATTTAAATGGCCACATGAGAGATGACTCAGGCTGTAGGCTTTGGGCGGGCTTCTCTGAGGAGGTGGCATTGGGTTGACGTTGAGCTGGACACTCGGAGTTCTGTGGAAATGAGAATCTGGAGGTGGTGGGGAGTCCAGAGGAGGAGCGACAGTGTGGAACAGTGGTTCTGCGCTGTCAACAGGGTTTTGAATGGCCAGCTTCTGTCCCTTCTAGCTGGTGGCAGCTATCCTCACCTCTCCCAGGACTATCACTGGTCCTTTTACTAACTGCCTGTCTATCCTCAGCAAAAGAGACCTGAGGCAAGAAAAGCACTGACAGAGGCACTCACCATGGTGGTGTGGGAACTGGTGAGATTGAGTCACAGGGGACACACTGTGGCTCCTCTGGAGCCTGCCAAGAGTGCCAAAGGTCAGAAAGGTCAAACAAGCCAATCCTAGTCTTATTTGTCAAATCTGAAGATGCCCAATAACCAACTGAAACTTCGGCATAGGGACAGATTTGTTGGCTCACACCACTGCATCTGAGCAGAGCTCTGTGGAGATCCCAGTGTCTCAACACCCCAGTACCTCCAAGAACACAAGCAAAGGTCCCGTGGCGTTGCTTGGGGCTGGCTAAACATGATAGCAGGGCTGCAGAACTTGGCTGGGGCTGGAATGTTCTCAGTGTTCACTGACTCTCTGGGGTTCGTCTTCAGGTGGCTTCCCAAGTCCCAGCCTGGACCTTGGTAAGCCATTGGGTTCTTGTGTGAGATGGTCAGTTCTGGGTTAGTCAATGGTTTGGGCCTGTGGCGAAACAGTGGATGGTAAAATCTCAGATGGTGTGGCTACTGCGTCTCACTGATGGGAAAACAGAAAGAAGACGTGTTTCTGGGGTGGGCTCACAGCTGTGGAGACTTAGTGAGTCCCACACCCGATGGGTTGAGGAGTGGGAGACTGGCAAGCTGGGGTGCAGAACTAAGGGCAGACGGTATTGGAAGATGCCACCTGCTGTAGACCATGCACCTCCAGGCCTTTTTTTCTCTGATTGGACCAGGCCCACCCCATGGTCTGAGGCTCATCATCTTTACTTCTAACCCATTGACCTAAATGTTAATCTAATCAAAAAGCTCCCTCACAGAAACATCCAGAATAATGTTGACCCATCACTAGTACCATGGCTTAGCCAAGTTGGCACACACACATGTCCCACCAACAGAAACACAGAGCCTTCCGTGTGGCCTTTTCAGGTCACTCCCGGGCATGGGATGGGAAGGGAAGGGGCAACTGGAAGGAACAAGACCTCACAGTCATGGCGTATGGCTCTCCCTGTCAGAGCTGCCCCACTGCCCCACAGCCACGACTTCCTTCGCCTTCCTTTAGCTTTCAGTCAGGCAATTGTCACTAAACTGCAATATCAGGAGTGCCACCTAAGAATCTGAGGTTCTATCTCTCTTGAGAAACAAAACACCAAGCTGGGTGTGGTGGTGCACACCGGTCACCTTACGGCTTGGTACACTGAAGCAGGACAATCAGGAGTTATGCATGACAGGGTAGTCTGGGCTACAGATAGAAACAAACGAAATAGCAGCAACAATTAGCAGCTGAGTAGCTGGTGTTGGAGTCAAACCATAAACAGCACTCTCACTCTAGGCCCCACCTGCCCTGGCTGTCCTACACTGGCTCTCTGCTTTCCACTGAGCCATCTTCCTGGCCTGTGAAGGAATATGACCTCGATTCCCCACCTCCCAGACCCCACAGCCTGAGCTGGAAGGTCTGTCTCAGCTCTAGTGGTCACAGGGCTCTGGCTGCCCTGAGCAGCACTGCCCACAGCACGTCTTCAAGTGGTGGAGGTGGTCGCCATTTTACCCACCTAACATTTGGGCCATGACATGAACGACTCCCCTCGGGCACTTGCTGTGACACAAATTCAATATAAATTATCCCGTTGTGCTTTTGTGTATTTCTTACATGTTAAACAGATCATATCTGGGATATATTCAATGAGACAAATATTTTATTAAAATAGATTTCAGGGCAGGAAAGATGGCCTACCCTGCAAGTGGGTAAGGTGCTTGCTGCCAAACTTGCTGACCCTGAGTTCAATCTCTAGGACCCACATGGTGGAAAGAAAGAACTAACTCTGAAGATTGACCTCTGGCTTACACACACACACACACACACACACACACACACACACTCGTGCACACACACATACACACATATATACACACATGCACACACGCATACACACACACATGCACACACACATACATACACACACATGCACACACACATACATACACACACATGCACACACATATGCATACACACACACACATGCACTCAAACACACACAAAAATAAACATTAACAACATGTTTTTCAGTTTTAATATCATTGCTCGAAACTTCTATGGCTTCTGCTGACAGCTCCCATTCTGTTTCTGTTAGGTTCTCGGGTAAGGGTTGTGTGTGTGTGTGTGTCCACATTTGTGTGTTTATGATTGCACTAATCTGAGTGCCTGCAGAGGCTCACTGAACCTTGAGATGCCCTTCAGTCAGGCTAGCCTGCCAGCAAGCTCCAGGAACCCCACCCCATACTCCGTCTCCACCTCCCCAGGGCTGGGACCACGAGTGTCCACCACCACAGTTGGTTTTCCCCTGTGGATTTAAGAGCTAGGGCTCACGATTTACAGTGTGAGATATCTCCATAGCCTGCCTGTAAGGTTTTAGCCACCTCAGCATTGTCAGCCAGGGGAAATGCAGCCACCTTCTCATCCCTTTGCTAAAGAGCACAGGAACACTAACATACTGTGAGACTGTGAGCCTAGTGGCCCTGGGAACAGCTAAAGACTCCCTACTTCCTCTTTGTCTTGTGGCTCTGATTCCCTCAAGATTAAATTCCCTCCCCCAGCCCAGCTTCGTTAACTTGATGACTCAGAAGTCCTTCCAAATGCTGTGGGCCTTGAGGTCAGATCAGCCTGGCCTGAATAGAGGTGGCTTCCCACATGCACTAAGAGAACCCCAAAATATCTCCTGCCCTTCCCCTCGCCAGGCCCTGTGCTCCAGCTCTCTGTCAGCCACCCGAGGCTTCCCCGAACGGCCTCTGTTTCCTAACCAACCAGCTACAGAGCTGGGCAAAGGCTGGCCAGGGTTTATGGGTTACAGTCCCAAGCTGGAGAGGGAGTGGGAAGGGGAAGTGGGGGAGGGAATGGTATGGAGGACATCTGGCCTGAGCAGTCAGGTCTGAGCATCCTGGAGCCCACACAGGCAAGGCTAGAACTCAGGTGGAAGGGCTTATGACATGAGCATTTATGTGCCACCTGCTGAATACCCATGGAGCAGGTGCTTTGCTCTCTTAGAGCAGAGCACACAGAGGCCGGAGAGGAACAGCATGTTGGCCAAAGTCATAAAGCACGGTAGACTGAAAACTCTTGATTGCCTTTAGATCTGTGGCCTCTAAGCCAGGGCTGCTACAGAGGCCTGCTAAATAGCCTAGCAGCCCACTAGACAACAGAGACCCCAAGCCTGTGTGTGTGTGTGTGTGTGTGTGTGTGTGTGTGTGTGTGTAAGAGAGAGTGTGTGTGTGTCCCCTCCCTACCTCCTTTTTCCCTTCCTGCCTTCGCTGTTTTCTGTTTCCTTCTTTCCTGTCTTTAAAACTTTGTTCATTTTCCCACCAAAGTGTGAGTGCCCCATTGGGCTACCCATGCCAACTCGAGCAGAGCAGCCGTTTCACAAGGGTGCCCGGTAAGGCCTGAGAGCTGACTGCTTCTGGGCTCTACTGTGTGCCAAGGCTTTGCTTGGGGTGGGGGTGGGGAGCTGTCACCTGTGAAGGCTCCTGGCTTCCGGGAGGGGCTCATATCCTTCTGAGAGTCTGTCTGGTCCCAGGTGTCTGATTCAATTATGTACTATGTGAGGCCACTTCCCCACGCCCAGCATGATATCCTTATAAGGAAGAATGGCTGGCAATTTGAATCTTGTCAACTGTGTCCCTTACTTAGCAGGGAGCCATCCCATAGTGGAGGAGGCCTCTTGGAGACTGAGTCCTAGGGTAGACAGGCATGGGGACTGGTGCTGGGGAGAAGTCTCTGCATGCCAGGTGGGAACAGGCTTCAAGAATGACCTGGAATTACACCTGCAGGGCGATCACTACAGGGACATGTGCAGTTATTGGGCACCTTCTGTTTCCATGCAGGCTGCATTTATTATTCCCTTTCCATGGCTGTACAGCATGGCTAAGACAGTGTGGCCTTAGTAGGGGTCAGTCCATGTGGGTCCCTGTATTCCCCTGTGAGTTCTCATCCCCAGAATCAGGGATTAGGAGTGAGGACATAGGAAGCAAAGTGGAGTTCTTAGTCTAGTGTTACTGTTGGTGAGCCGTATGGTTTATCTGAACCTCAATTTCTTCCTCTGTGAAATGGGCTAGTTCTACTTTCCTGCCCTCAGAGTCGCAGGCACTGCTTGGAAAGTGTGTCTCCCTCCTCCCACCCCTGGCTACTCCAGCCCCCAGGAGGTGGGCCCCTGGCAGGACAGGATGAGGCAGCCAGAAGGGTTTGATTGACAGGAAGAAAGCAGAAGCGACAGGACTCTCCCAATTCCCACACTTCCTCTCCACCTGCTGTGGCTGCCGTAGCAGCTGCTTGAACACAGCTCTCAAAGACCATGAGGAACAGCAGGGGAGCCATGGAACACCTCGTCAGCTTGGGGTAAGTCTGGGGATTGGGACACAAAGGCTACCCAGCAAGAAAAGTCAGCAGCCCATTGACAGGAGGTGCGAGATCAATGAATCCTCAGCTTTCTGGGACCTGCTTTTCTCCTGGTAGGGTAGAAATGATATGGGTAGAAGGCTGTGTGGGAACTGAATGAGGGGGCATGTACAGAGGGGGCCGTTCAGCGTGGGAGCACCCCGTGCCACAGCTCACTGAGTACCTGACATGGCTTACAGTTCTTAAAAGCATTTATGCTACTTGCTGTTGCTTTAGCAGTTCCATGTCCTGAAACTAATCATACTGTGTGTTAGAGCAGTGTGTAGTCTCACTCCTAAGTGTTCTGGGAGTTGGGGGGCGGCAGGAAGGGGGTACAGGTGTTGAAGACTTGTGAGTGTACAGTAGTGACAAGCACCAGCAGGGGGCGCACTCGTCCTGCTGACCCGCAGGCAGTGAATGTCCGGCTCCATCCAGCCGTCAGCAGCGAGACGGCAGTGATAAAATGTCCGTGTTTCATATCTGACCCCTGAAGCCAGCCACTTTGTAGCCTCCCCTCTGCTGTCACTGGGATAACTAGTGTGAGCACCTAGAAAGCCAGAGTCTATCCGCTTCCCTTCTGCTGTGTCTCCAATGCTGAGCTCACAGCAATTGCTGAATAGTAGTTGAGGGCTAGAGAGGGTAAAATGGCTACTGTACAAGCACCTAATTGGATCCCAGAACTCTGTACAAGCACCTGATTGGATCCCAGAACTTTGTACAAGAACCTGATTGGATCCGTGGGTAAAATGCCTACTGTACAAGCACCTGATTGGATCCCAGAACTCACGTGAAGAAAGCAAGGCGTGAGGGAATGCACTGGCTCTCCCAGCGTTGGAGAAGTGGAGACCGCTCCCTGGGGCTTCCTGGCCAGCCAGTCTAGTCAAATTGGTGAGCACCAGGCCCGTGAGAGACCCTGTCTCAGAAAAATACGGCAGAGGGCCTGTGAGACATCTCAGTCAGTATAAGAGTACCTGATAGCAAGGTCGGCAACCGGAGTTCGATCCTTACGGCCCACGTGATAAAAGGAGAGAAACAGATCTTAGAGGTAGCTCATCCGGTGACTCTCGCGAGTTGTCCTCTGACTTCTACACACACACTTACACACACGAACACATACACACATACACAGAGGGGCATGCAAGCACGAACCCACAAAATGAAAATGTAATTTAAAAAATTGGGGTGGAGAATGAAAGATGTTAGCATGTAGGCATAAATGTGCAATACACAATAAACAAACAAACAAACGTTAGTTTGATGACTAATTTGAGGCTGGTTGAAGAGCAAAGGTCCCCAAGAAGCCAACTGGGCCGTCTCCTTGCCTGTAAATGATGGAGGGCGACACTGAGCTCTAAGGAAGAACGCGAACAGGCCCAACAGTGAGGTACACAGGCTGTGAGTATGGGTGTGAATGTGCATGAAATTACCCCTCCTCACTATCTTGCTACATTCCTTTTTTCAGCCAGGCCCCTTCTCTCTCTCCACAGCTTACCTGCTGCTCCCCAGCCTGTAACCATGGCATCCATCCAGATACCTAGCCTCACATGCTCAAGTAGTCCACAGACATTGGGCTGTTGACTGACAACCCTATAAAGACTTCCTGGGGAAGGCTCTGATTGGTTCAGTTTGCATTACCCCGGATGGATGAAGTACCTCTGATTGGTGCATCCGGAAAGTGTGCAGGTTCCAGTGGCTATACGAGGAGTCTAGTGGCAGCCTGGTTGGTGGGATAGAGGATGAACACAGCCTCCTGACACATGGCTCCCATATTTCCTTGTATACAGGTGGAGGTTCTGGCGCTTGGCGATCTGCAAGGCCGCTGTTCCGCTGCAGGCTGCCTGGAACGCCTTCTCCCAGCCTGTCCCAGCCAGCTGGAAGGAACTACTGATCCAGCTTCTCCTATGTGTTTCCTTGGCCAGCCTTATCGCAGGACTGCTTCATCACTGGCTGGTCTCTTTGCAGCTTTATCCTCTGGGGCCCCCTGCCTTGGTGACCGCTCTCTGTGGTCTCTTCGTCTTCCTGACCCTGGGCCTGGTGCCCCCCATCCGCTGCCTATTTGCACTCAGTGTGCCTACCCTGGGCTCCGAGCAGGGTCGCCGCTTGCTCTTGTCCTACAGTGCAGCCAACCTGGCTGTCGCTGTGGTGCCAAACGTCTTAGCGAACGTGCGTGCAGCTGGGCGGGTGCTGAGCTGTGTTACTGAGGGCTCTTTGGAGAGTCTGCTTAATACCACTTACCAGTTGCACCAGGCAGCCAGGGAACTGGGCGAAGCCGGCCAAGCAGTCAGCCGGAGCCTGACATTTGAGGCCGAGGGCAATGGCTCAGCCCTTCGCCTTCATATGCGCACGGTCACTCTGCAGATCATGGAAGACTTCTCTGGCCTGGAGTTCCTGGCTCAGGCAGCCCTGGGCACTCAGAGGGTGGTCACCGGGTTGTTCCTGCTGGGCCTCCTGGGTGAGTCGGCCTGGTACCTTCATCGCTACCTCACTGACCTGCACTTCGACAATATCTATGCGACCCGGCAGCTGGTTCGGCAGCTAGCCCAGGCTGGTGCCACACACCTGCTGACCTCTCCGCCTCCGTGGCTGCTCCAAACAGCCCAGCCTAAGCTGTCACAGGAAGAGCTGCTGAATTGTCTCCTAAGGCTGGGGCTCCTGGCACTGCTCCTAGTAGCCACAGCTGTGACAGTGATCTCAGACTATGGGGCCTTCCTTTTGGCACAAGGAGCTGTAGCCTGGGCTCAGAAGTTACCCACTGTCCCAGTCACACTCACAGTCAAATATGATGTAAGTGTACCGAGGGGAATATTCCTGGAATAATCAGATGGGAGGGGTCTGTCCGCTCCTGGGCTTCTTTCTGTCTATATATGCTTGCTTCAGGGTCATCATCCTTGGGTATGCCTAAGAGTCTGACAGAGGTATGTGAAGACACGAGGTACAAGAAAGCAGAGAGGTGGAGTACAGGAAGGGGCCAGGGCTAGGTACAGCTCCCCCCCCCCCAGGCCCCCGTGATTGCTCCTCCAGCTGGGCCCCATCTCCTAACTTTGTAATTCCTTCCAACAAGGCCTTTGTGTCAGAGACCCATCAATAGATCACGGATTAGTAGAGAGCCCCCGTGCCCTAATTCTCCCTGAAAACACCCTCGCAGACCCACCCAGAGGTGGACATTGCTAATGTCCTGAGCATTTCTCAATCCCGTTGGCAAGACCACCAATACCATAAGCATTGATTAGTGGGACCTTATTCTTCTTTTTTTTGGATAGGGTTTCACGATGTAGTTCTGACTGACCTGGAATTTGATAATGCCCAACAGGCTGCCCTCCAAATCCACAGAGATCCACCTGCCTCTGCCTCCTGGATGCTGAGATGAGAGTCGTGGACTACCACTCCTGGCTCACGTGCTAGGCAGTCACTCCGCCCTCTGGGCCATTGATTAATTAATTGACCTCCAGCTTAATTAGTTTTCTCTAAAAATACTTCGCTCAGTGATAGTAAGAGTAACGGAGGTAAGGTTTGTGTGGTGCCGCTTTGACGGCTACTGAGTCTCAGTTGCCCCTCCCTAGACCCATTCTGTAGGTGACAGGGATAAGGAATGGCCTGAGGGCTCCTCTGACTTAACCCTGTTCTCTGATTTGAAGGCCTCATATAAGGTCCTGGACTTCATCCTCTTCGTCCTCAACCAGGCTCCGGTGGAGAGCGTGTTTGCCTCGGTGCAGCGCTCCTTCCAGTGGGAGCTGCGCTTCACGTCCCGCGACTGTCACCTGCCGCAGGCTCAACCGCCCCGTGTCACTGCTGCGCTGGCCGCGGGCGCCCTGCAGCTGCTGGCAGGCGCCACCTTACTGCTACATGCCTACGCCTGGCGCCTGCGGCACGCCATCGCCGCCTCCTTCTTCCCGGCCCAGGAGGCCAGGAGGCTTAGCCACTTGCAGGCCCGGCTCCAAAGGAGACACGACCGGAGTGACCACCTGGACAGACACGCGGGCATTATGGGCACCCGGGGACCCAGGAAGCCTGGACAGGGGACAAGGGCTCTGGAGTCTCATGGACCTCAGTCACATGACTCCCTTTCGGCCTCCGTATGACCTTGAGTAGGTCATTGGATGTCTCCGAGCTTCAGTTTCTGTATCTACATAGTGATCGTGCTTGGCAACAATGGTCTGCTTTTCACGTGGGATGTGCGCGAAATCGTGGCGAGTGGAAGGCCAGGAAGAGTCGGGAAGGCGCGTGTGTGCAGTAAAAAGGACTGGAAGTTTGGGAGGACCACACAGCTCAGTTCCTTCCCGCTAGATGGAGATAGCCCTGGTAACATCCTCGTGGGGACCCTGCATGTGGATTCACCTCAGCACTCCTCCAACTTAGCTTTACAAGCCTTTGAGAATTTACGTTAATCTGAAAGTTTGATCTTATAAATAAGCATATTTATTAAATAGAAGAGTAAACGGTTTTGCTCTTTTCGGCTCCTTTGGGGACCTTTCCATCTAGACTTCTCACGTTTAGTAAATAAAAATACAAGGTGCCCTGCCCAATTTTGAATTTTGGAGAAGGGACATATTTGTGTAGCGATCCTTGGCTATCTGGTTAGCCATGTTCAGCCTTGAGTTCCCCATTGTAAAATTGTTGTTTTAAAAACACAAATCTCGAGCAAGGTCGTGAAGAAAGGAGAGTGAAGTGGTACGACCATTTCTTCCGCCTTCCGTTTCTGCATTCCTCGTAGAACTTCCAACAGCCGCATGTTAGGCCAGAGTATCCAGAGGTTCGCCACTTCTGTGGTCCCTCGAACTAGGAGGAGGGTTTGCGGAAGAATTTGCCAGTTCCGGTGGAAAACAAATGGCAGTTACTGGTTATGATGACCGTGTACTTTGGATCTGGATTTGCGGCTCCTTTCTTTATAGTAAGGTACCAGCTACTTTAAAAAATAAGGATATTTAATTCATCCCTTTAACAGAATAACAGAATGAAGAAAGTTTAAGAGATGTGATCTGAGAATTGGATTAAACTCTTGAACTCTTTTTTTTTGTTGTTTTGTTTTTTTGAGACAAGGTTTCTTTGTATAGCTCTGGCTGTCCTGGAACTCACTCTGTAGACCAGGCCAGCCTCGAACTCAGAAATCCACCTGCCTCTGCCTCCCAAGTGCTGGGATTAAAAGCGTGTGCCACCACTGCCTGGCTTGAACTTTTATACTAGAAAAAAAATTGTAAATAAACTAACGACATAAAAAATAAAAAAATAAATAAAGCCACAAATCTCAGCCGTTCAGTTTTACCAAATGAAGACTCCGGAACCAGTTGTGTGGTGAAAGCCTGCTAGCTCAGAGAGGCAGAGAAAGCACCCAGCTGACCTTCCTACTCCACAAGGTCCCAGAAGGAAAGAACTCTTTCTCCACACTGTCTTAAATGCCCTTCGGCTCAGACTTGTGCTCCCTTCCAGTCAGCTGGTGGCTTGCTGTGCCTCTTCACCTAGAGTTGACTTTATTTAGCTCTTGCATTAAAGGTGTGTACCAAGGCTGAGCCACACCACAACTGCCTGTTTACAGAAAGCTGAAAGCTCTGGGACCAAAAGCTGAGCCACTATGAGAAATATTTTTACAGTTCACAATCTCCGGGTTCACAGTGTGATCGGATATCCTACAACATAAAATAATAACAATAATAATAAAACAGCAAACGTCAAATTCCTGATTGACTTTTGGGATCGGTGAATCAGGCAACACTGTATTAGGTGAACAGAATCAAGTGTTCTAAAGACTGAAGGAAGGGGTTGGCTTTGTGGAGAGGAAGAGGTGAGGAGAGCAGAGCAGGAAGCGTAAGAAGCATGAGCCCCAAAGCCTGTATAACTCTTGCAAACCACAAGGCTCACACTTATTTCAGAACACACAGGTGATGAGCCACATCACTATGACTGTGGCTCCAATGGATTCTTTGACATCTGTGTTAAAGAATGCTCCCCCTCCTCCATAGACCCATATATTTGAACAGTTGGTCCCCAGTTGGTAGAACTGTTTGAGAAGGATTAGGGGCGTGGCCTTATTGGAGGAGCTGTGTTTCTGGGAGTGGCCTTTGAGGTACCAAAGCCTCGCAACATTTCCAGTTAGCTTTCTGCCTTATGGCTGTGTCTTGAGATGGGAGCTCTCAGCTACTATTCCAGCACCATGCCTACCTACTGCCATGCTCTTCCTCACGATGGTCACAGACCCTAACCCTTTGGAACTTTAAGTTCCAAATGTACCCTTTCTTCTATACATTGCCTTGACTGTGGCATTTTATCACAGCAGTAAAAAAGTAACTAAGATAGTATCATTTCTTTTCTTTCTTTTCTCTTTGCTTGTTTTATCATGTAATATTTGCTTTGGGACAGGGTCTCATGTAGCCCAGGCTACCCTCAAACTCACCATGCAGGCAAGGATAACCTTGAACTACTTGATTCTCCTGACTCTACCACTCAAATGCTAGAATTACAGCTAGCTCAGAATGCCCCAGAAAAGCAGGGGAGCTATACAACTATCCCAAACGCACAGCAGCAAAGGGAGAGAGCCATACAGCTAGCTCTGAATGCACAGCACAAAGAGAGAGAGCTAGCGTCAATCAAGGGGGAAGACCAGCACCAGAGGCTGTCCTCTGGCTTCCACATGTATGCCATGTCCCGCACATTTCTAGAGATACACACAGGATCATATGCCTGCATATACATATGCATACACAAACTGTGCACACACAGGGGGAGAAAAAGAAGGAAAGAGGGAAGGGTTTCTATATTTTCCTTCCAAGTATAGAATCAGGTATATTATATTTGATGTAACTTCTCAGAATTTAAATATATCCAGTAGTATTAAGAACAAAAAGGGGAATAAGTTCAAACTAGACAAACAGACTATGGTTGCCAGTCTATGAGTGCCGCAGAGCAACTGAGCTGGGAAAGAGGGCAGTAGACGCCATCTGTCACCTGGCCACTAACCCATCCATGGTGGCCTGACCACAAGAACCCTCAAAGAACCACCTCATGACACCATTACCTGAAGATCGAAAATGTTAGCATCTGAATTGGGGCAAACAGACCAGTCACCTCAGGGTCCTTGAAATCTAGATAGCTCTGTGGGAAACAAGGGCATACTTTGAGGTAACCTGTGCTCTAGTCTCAACTCCTACACAGTGGAAAAATTGAACCAATTCCCCTGACATTGTCCTCTGACCTCTACATGTTTACCATGGCATGTACACACACACACACACACACACACACACACAGAGAGAGAGAGAGAGAGAGAGAGAGAGAGAGAGAGAGAGAGAGAGAATAAATGCATTGCACTCCTAGATTTAAACAGCTATGGTTGCTTACACAAAAGAAATCAATCAGCATGCTGGCATGGATTGGAGAGGAGCACATGAGGCCTCATTCCTAGCTGAGGCACTACTGGCCACTATGGCTACTGAGTGGGGGTGGTAATTTTTCTTCAGGGGTGTGGCTCCTGGTGGGTTGCCCATACTTTAGTAGATGGCCCCACACCATGCACTTACTGGCAGTGCCAACTAGATTTGTACATACTTTGTATATATCCATGAAATCCCCAAAGAATAAATCAAAATATTATAATACACAAATGAATAAAAGTAACAGAACAGGTCTCCTGAGTTTTGATCAGATGAATAAGTGAGTGTGTGTAGACTTGCCTTCATCCTAGTACGAAGCCTCTGTCAGACAGCTAGCTCCTGTCTTAGCAAGTCTGAAGCCTACACTGACTCTCAGGGCTCTTTGTCTCCCAGCAACAGAAAGTACCTCTGCATCACTCAAAGGGCAAGTCATAGGAGTCAGGAAGATCTAGAGCCAGCACATCCCTGGAGCCCCTGGAGCCCCTGGAGCCCCTGGAGCCCCTGGAGCTGGGATCACGGTCAGTCTTCACAGCACCCATGCCATTCTACTTGGGGTTCAAGTTCAGATTCATGGCATGCTTGGTTTGGGTCATGGCCTGCCCCTTGTCTAGAGTAATAAGACGGGCCATCATTCTGTGGATGGCCTTGACAGACTTACAGGTTGGGTAAAGCTCTGTCTGGTGGGTTCTTCTCATACAATGGACATCGGCTGGTCCTCTTGTGCTGTGCATGCACAGCTTGTGAGACACTATGTGGTATTCTTGAGTAAAGGTCGGGGTCGTCTCCCAGGGGAAAAGTGTTAGCAGAAAAAGGAGCCGGTTTCATGAGGCTACGAAAAAACAAGAGTCTCTTCAAATTACTTGACCCACATTAACGGCATCTGGATACATTATCTGAAGTATCAGAGAGAGCTGGAGCCTTCTTCGGCGCTTTCCATCAGCAGGCCTTGACTGTGAAACCTAGCTAACGAAGTTGATGGGGAGCCTCCAAGGGAAGTTGGCGGGGGAGTCCTCTGCCATCTAGTGGTCACTATGGAAACTGCAGATCCCAGCATCTGTCCGCTTCCTGACTTTTCCTCTTCCTGTCCCAACATTCTAGACCCCTTCTTTTCCTCTCTTCTCTTCTTCTCTTTCCTCTTTTATTTCACCAGTGTAAACGTTTCACTTTGTTATTCTTCCCATTGTGAGTGTATACAATGTACAGGTGTAGGTGAAGTGCACCGACGTTAGTCAGGGAAGTCCTTTGCAGAAGCAAGTCTGTGCTTCCTTCCATTGTGAGTCCTGAGACTAGAACTCAGGTCCTCAGGCTTGAGCCGCGAGTGCTTTTGCTTTCCAAGTCATCTTGCTAGCCCAAGTCTAAGCTTTTTTTTTTTTTTTGAAAAACCTCCCACTGGATTAAAAACTCACCAGGATCCATGAATCGTCCACCTCCTTTGTGGTAATTAGTTGAGTTGTGGTCATACACACGCAGTGTCAGGGCCTTGATAGCAACTCTACGGTCTTCATTCAGAGAGAATGAATATAAGACTGTGAAGCCTGTGATCCTCTCAGCAATCCTGACTTGACAGGACACAATGCACCCTGTTGCTCTGTCATGTCAGAAATAACATGAACAGGGAGCTGGAAAGATAATTCCAGGATAAGGGAATAGGGAACTAAAGCGGGGGGGACAAAGGAGGGGACATGAGTGTGTTATGAAAAACACTCATGGACAAGGGGAATTTCTCTCTGCCAGGAAGTCTTCGAAGTGTGAGGTGTGTCCCAGAATCACTCCCTGGGGCCTGGAGGTGGAGCTGTGGCACCTGTCCATCACTGAGATCAGTTCCCAGCACTTGGGAGGCAGAGACAGGCAATCCTAAATTCAAAGTGAGTCTGGGCTAAATAGAGAAACCCTGCCTCCAAATCAAAACAAAACATTTTATTTATTTATTTAATATATGTGAGTGTACTGTAGCTGCCTTGAGATACACCAGAAGAGGGCATCAGATCCCATTACACGTGGTTGTGAGCTACCACGTGGTTGCTGGGAATTGAACTCAGGACCTCTGGAAGAACAGCCAGTACTCTTAACCGTTGAGCC